TTTACTTTTATAAATCTGTACATCTTCTCTATATCTGCCATGAATACTATTCTATGTTTACGCCACCGTAGTAATATAGACGCCAAGTCTTGTTGTAACCTAGGTCCCGTGTACATATTAGAGTTTAAGCTTGTGTGTGATTTAGCCTTGCTTGACGCATCAAATACTACCCGTAATTTGGTGGTTAATGAGTCTTCTTTAATCACCGGTTGGTGAGGTATATAATATTTTCCCTGGTAGTAATCTGATTGTGGCACTTTTCTCATGTGACCCATTCTAAGGTATTCGTCTAGGAATTCTTTGTATTGGTTTTTCAGTGTTTTGTTTCCTTCAAACTTTCGTTCTAATTGAAACAGTCTTGCAGCGGCCCTTTGGCGCGTATTTCCATAAACGACGTCAGAGTTTTTAATTGGAAGTCGAACAGTATAAGTGCCATCTCGATTTCTTTCTGTGGTTTGTTGATACAAATGTTCACATAATTGGTCTTCGTTAGATAGATTATCTCCCTCAGGTATCTCTTCTAATTCCCAGAATTTTGTTAACTGGTGCATTTCAACTGAGCGAGTTATCATACTAGTGATTCGTATGTTGTTTGTGGAAGGATTACTGCTTATTCCGGATAATATCCACCCAAACTCGGTGTCCTGGGCAATAATACCGCTTTCTATTTTGTGTAGGCCTTGCAACAATATTCTGCTATATTCTTGAGCGCCCAATATTATGTCTATTGGACCTCGTTTGTAATAAGTCGGATCTGCAATTAAAGTGTTTACTAAGCACTCCGCTTGTATTGGTTGTATAGTTTTATTTGGTAATGAACCCGTTAACTTTGGTAAGATAATGAGTTTTACGGGTAACTTAAATTCGCTTGGAAATCTCGGTTGTAAGTTCACTTCAATACTGTAGTTTGAAGTCTTCGGTGTCTCGTCACCGATACCTACTACCTCACATTTTATTTTTCTGCGAGGGTAGGATAGTAATTGGGCTACTTCTTCTGTGCAGAATGAAGCCTGGGAACCTTGATCACACAGCACTCTTAGTAGGTGTGACGTACCATCTTTGGTGTATGTATGCACAAGGGCCGTCGCTAAAAGCGTTGTATCCTGTGTGTCCGGTCCTGTTGTGGACGACATGTTTGACTTGGTTTTTGTCCAAGTTGTACTTGTAGTAGGGTTTTCAATGGTTTTCCGATCCTTTGACCCTTTATTGTTGTCATCTTTAGTGACGTAATTGTTGACATTACCCTTCTTTTGAATGTCAAGGTGTAATAATGAATGGTGACCTAGTTTGCCACAATGTTTACACTTTCCATTACTATGACATTGAACGGATGAGTCATGTATTATGCACTGTTTGCATTTTCGATTCTCCTTCACTTTATTGTTACGCTGTTCTGCTGACAATGCTTTAAATTGTGCGCACATGTATATGTTATGATTGTAACTATTACATAGCCAGCACTTGTAGCTATTTATAGATTTAGGAATATAATGTTGTTTATAATCGGATTTTCCTTCACAGATGGTATTTTCGAGACACATAAACCGTTTTTTCCAGAAATGACATCATTGATGAAAATGTTTGAGGTTTGTTCGGCGTTACGAGTTGTTGTTCGTATTTTTCGTCAGTTTCCGAATCCCAAATACGACTCAGTATTCTTGTTAACATAGGATCCCATGACGAGATATCAATTTTCTGATTTTTAATCGCCTCTAGGTTCTCCTTAATTGTATCATGCAGAACCTTCAAACTATTCGCAGAGCCCACCTTCAGTTTTTGTATGTTGAGAATGTTGTCAATGTGCTTAGTGATAATCATTCTCTCGTTTTCGTAGCGATTCTTAAGCAATGTCCACGCAGTCGCATAGTTAGATTCGCAAACTGTCAAATGCCTAATGAGTCTGGCTGCATCACCTTTCACGTGCGTCTTTAAATACTGCATCTTTTCTGTATCTGTGAGTGAGTTATCTTCATGAATGATTTTTAAAAATAAGTCATAGAACGAGCTCCACGACTCATAACTTCCCATAAACATTGGAATGACTATTCTTGGTAGTTTCACGGATGGTTTGTGATCAGTTTGATGTTGTTGTAGCTTTTCATATAGTCGTTCAATTATGTTATCGTAGTCTGATTTCAGTTTTTCAAACACTTCATCCTGAAAATAACTATGTTCTAAGATGTTTTCTTCCTCACAGATATTGAAGTGGCCTTCTTCAACTTTATCACACTGTTTTTGCAAGGCTTCTAGCAATGTTTTATAGTGATAGCTGGATCTGTCGTCTTCAATCGCCAAGGCTGCTTTCTCGAGGTTTTGACGCAACTGATTGATGCGGTACAATTGCAAATTCATTTTTGCTGAATTGTTACTGTTGGTTCTGACTTCTTCTGGGTCCCGAACACAAGGTTGCTGACAAATTGAAAGTTTTGCCTCACATTGTTCCAAATAATCCATAGCATCTTTATACAGCTCTTTGATGATCCCGAAGTAATTAGACTTCATATAGGTATGTTCTTCTAAGATCTCCTGGTCTTCAATTAGTGAATGGTTTGCCGATGCTTTGGTGAAGACTTCTGTGAGTCGCGATCTTCTTTCTGCGATGTACTTCTCTGTTTTTCTTGATGTCGAATCCTTTTTGATGTTGTTGAATATGCGTCCGATTTCTTTGTAGTGGCTCTCCTGACTTTTCACAATTTCGTTGATTTGTTGTATTTCCATCTTGCTGCCCTATCCTATCCTAACCAACCTAACAATGATATAAGGGGGTAGAACAATTACACTTAGTTGCGATCTATATCCTCGTTACGGTATGTGCGACTTCTCGAGCACCGGGGCGACCCTGTTCAGGGAGACCGATACCTGATCCGCTACCGAACGACGCAAACTAAGTTAGTCAGTCACTTGATATACAACGAAACAAGCGCTAGGTTTATGCGCAAGTCTGCTGTATACCAATTGTCTGTCAGTCAATTAGTCAATTTAAGGGACAAGATGATTCTCTACCGATGACTCGAAGGACCAAAATATACAGCGTGATAAATAGCCTTACGCTAAGATCGCGCTGTACAGGACTAAATACCTAATCCTAAGTACTACTAGCTAACGTTATCCTACACTATCCTAGATAATCTAACACTTACAATATCCTATCCTAGATCCCCTAAGCCCACTAACCTATGTAGTCTAAGTTCTATCCTATATTTGCCTAGCGTACAATGCGTATAGGCTTGGTACTCTGTGGTATACTGTGATACAGACCAGCACTTCTACGTACCTACTACCAAGCCCTTAACCTAAGGCACGTACTATAGTGGTACACTGTGGTATGCTGTGATACAGACCTACTCTTCGTACGCGCCTAATGCCCTAGCCCTACAGTCCCTAGACCCTAGCCCTACTATACGTATTTATATATACTTATATAGATAGGTGCAGGATATCTGCCAACTGAGACCTATGATGGCAGACGGAATGTGGGTAGGAATGGGGTATGGTGGTGATGGTTTTCTCACTGCCTGTCGAGCAGACTCACACGACAGATCGGTTGATGGCTAAAGGTGTCTTGGCCACAGTGAGAGGTGGAGGAAGGGTAGTGAGTCAAAGTCGGAATCAACTTAATGACTCGTTTATTGCTTAATCTACATGATCTTATATACTAAACTTATCCTATGTACACACATACCACATTATGATTGTGTGCTATGCGTGTAATGTACCATCTCAGTGCTATATACCTTACGTGATTACGTGATGTTTTATTAGTTTTATATATTTAATAAGTAATATGTTTTCCTTATTTTAATCACGTAGGATTATCTCGCTGAAATGGCACGTTCATGTGTGAACACACCCGGTTTCCAAAAGGCCGATCAATCTTAAAATCAGTTTAATCACTTGTCAAGTCATCTGATTGGTTGACTGAATTATCAACAACCAATCAGATGAACTGACAAGAGATTTGACACCTAGTTAGTTGATTTTAACATTGATCGGCCTTTTGGAAACCGAGCATTGTGACTAAAACCTCTCCAGTTATTTTTTGCTCCTGTTCTGGGCCGAGGTCACGATGCCTTATTATGTTTGCGCTGCAACACTGGTGATACATGTCTTACACTGCGGACTTAGTTTACAATGCTAGTCAGTTTAGTTTACAATAGCCGCTATAAATCAAGTAATGAATATAGAACGTAATTTATCTGCACAGGAGCAGGGCACATAAGCTTATTGGTTACCTATAATGAAAGTGTTGAACAGTCTCTTAACCAAACTATCCAAATCCACATCCAAACTAATATTATAAATGCGAAAGTAACTCTGTCTGTCTGTCTTTTCTTCACGTCTAAACTACTGAACCGATTTCTGTGATATTTGGCACAGATAAAGTTTGGAACTCGAGAAAGGACATAGGATAGTTTTTATACCAAAAATCTCCAGGATGTCACTATTCCACGCGTACAGAGTCGCGGGAAAAACTAATCATTTATATTGATTCAAATAATATGTCGCGGTATTTAAATCTGTATTAGACTGCGAGTAAGGGTTATTTGCCGTCCGACCAGAACCAGACCCGAGCGTAGAACGCATTGCGTTCCGCGTGCGTCTCAACAGCGCAATAGACCACCACAGATGGGCCCTATAGAGCTGATGTTAAGCCGGGGTTGCGGGGAAAGTGCAATAAGGCTCTGCGGCCTCGGCCTAGTGCAGGAGAAGGAACAGGGGGGTTTTTAGTCAGTAAGAGTCTGACACTCTCTCCCGCCCTACCCTGGGTGGGAAAAGTTATTTGATAATTTTTAAAAAAGGCAAGGTACACGTTCGTACTTGAGCATTAAATCGCAAACACTCAAGCGTGACTCACACGAACATGACAACACAATACCTGAGTCATAATATCTTGATTTCTGCGAAGACTGACGCATTTTCCACAAAATAAAAGTCATTCTGTTTGCAAATAATAATAAAATATAATCAAAATAATAACATAGGTAGGTAACATGACATGTGGTAATTTACATCGAAATTTATTTATGCAAATAGCTATTAGGTTAGTTTGAAATCTTGAATCTTGTGGTTGACCGCCATGAAGATATTTTCCACGTTGTAAGGGGTACCTGAAAAGAAAAAAGATATTAATATACTTATTAAGTAATACAGTTCGTTAAGAGTTGAGTAAAAGTGAGTATTGTTTTAGACACAATTGGGCACTATCAAATGTAATCCTTTTTTTAACAGACTTCATATTAAATGTAACACATTATCACATATATATTATTAATTTATTATGCATGGTGTAAATCCTTACAACTCGACTCGTGAGAGTCGGTATTTTGCAATCCTCCCACCTCGAGACCCTCAAGGAGAAGGAGAATCGCTTTCCCCTTTTACGTATATATTATTGTTTCCCAAAAATTTCGTTTGTGACCGTTAAGTTGGCTATATTATGTGTATATTGTTATATTGGCTATGCTATATATTGTGTGTGTTATGAATTTAATACAACATAGATTTATTATGCTACATAGATTTCAGTGTTGTGTCAATTATCATAGTTATTTCTTGAAAAATCCTAAAACATACGTATGTTAAGTATACCTAGCATAAAACAATGAATTATTGTAATTATTTTATTATTTACATTAATTTTATTACATTGGACAAAGTCGATGTTATTTATTTTTGACCAAGCAACACTATTTTGTCTAGTCATTCATTACAAGTTGTAACTACCTGTACAGAAACTGATTGTTGCGATACCGCAAACATTGAAAATACTTTAAAATATTTTATTTGTTTAGTGAAAACTTTATACAAATAAATGTACAGGCGGGCTTAATCCCTTAGGCACTGACAACAGTCGAGATGATGGAGCATTCGGAGTGACAGGTAACATAAGTAAACAACTTAAATACTGCATATTAACATATAATGAGATAGTATCAGTCTGTAAATATACACGAATTCTATAATTTTGAAATAAAGTTTAAAAATCTGTCACGGTGGCTTGGGAAACTTTATGTGCTGGTGTTTGTTATATAGTAGATATATTTCATTACTATTGTCAGAATTTTAATTCGATTCCTGATTTGACATGACCTATTCTCATTTTGTGAAATAATGATACCACATATAACAGTGTAGTGATGAACACAAAAATCGATAAAAAATCAGTGAATCAGCTTCAGGAAGGCATTCAAAAAATTACGGCTACCGAATGGTCTAAATGCGAATCCCATGTTGTCAAAGAAGAAGAAAAAATGAGTAAGCTAGATATGTTAATTGACAATAAATATCAAAGACACAATTCATAATAAATGTTACAGAAAGTAACAACGACAGCGATAGTGATAACAGCGACATTTTATAAAAATTTTGTTTTATTTGTCATGTTCCTTCATGATCACATTTTTTATTAATTTCACACACAATTACAAAAGAAAAGTCTCAGATCGTTAATTAGAAGAAATATTTTATTTCCTGATAAACTTAGTTTACGAGAGTAAATTTATAAACGAGAGGAATCGATTCAGGAATATTCGATTTCCACATCGAATAATTTAGTAACGTAACTATTTATTACGTGTCATAACGTTGCAACACTGAAATTGTCAAATCTGGAATGGAATTAAAATTCCGAGTATAGTACGGAATGGCTGTCATTCCAAAGAGTTCCAACAAATGTCTACCCGAGCCGAAGGTGAGGGTTGACAGTCGTAACGAGTTGCAATGACGGTCCCGTACGTGTACTGAACGACTATTTTTAGTACAGTTGCGAAAAAATTAAGCAATTTAATCAAATTATAAAAACAAAAATACAACTAATCTCGCGAAGAAAATTTCGGAAAATGGCGCCAACCGTAGAATGTAAGCAGTTTTTTCCAGCCATTCTGGTAGGCAAAGGGAACTGCCCATACAGCCAAGTATTTAGTACTTAGTATTTTTTATTATAAGAAATGAAATTGTTTAATGATATGAAATGAACCTTACCTAACTCATTCAATCAAATAATAAATTCTGATATTGAACAAATTAGTATAGGTAGCTTTTTTTTAGAAACAAATAAACCTATTTGTATAAATCGCAAAAACTTCTATGTTTTTTTTAGTTAAAACTTCATGGTTGTTTTAATATAAATTATTTTGACAGTTGGGAAAGAAACGCACGAGTTCGGGAAAGGCAAAAAAAAGCACGAATGTGAAATAGCTCAGATCCCGAACGCTACACGTCCCTGCAATACGCCACTTTTTGAAAAACTGTATTAAAAAAGCATTTAAAATACACACTCAAATAACATTTTTTTTTATGTTACGATATGTTTGTGTGATTCTATTTAAAACAGACGCTGTCGTAAAAACTTTGTTAAGAATAAAATGTGTCAAAAGTCACAGCTAGATATTTGTGTTGTTTACCACAACTCTAGCAAACTATCAACAGTTAATAGTTTCGTCGATCAAAGTTTATAATAAAAATAAACGTAAAAAAAAACAAGAAAACTTTCAGCGATTTTAAATTTTTACCGACAGATTTTTCAATTACAGCCAACTTGTACTACATACATTGTACACATATTTTTTCACCTGAAAAATATTTTCTTTTATCTATAACGTATAAGCCTGCAGGCAACTGTTGTCTTTTACAGAAATCATAATGTTGATAAGTATTTTTTTCACAAACTCTCTGAAAGGTTAAAACGAACGCATGATATGACATAATTTTTGTTGTTGGTATTATTTGAAGGTCTGTTGTTAAGCAGTATGTATTTTTAATATCATGTATCAGGCTCTGAAATAATTTAATTTTGGAACGCTTTTCTCTCGAAGCAAGTTAATTGAATTTTGTTCCTAACATGTTTTGGCGGATTTTGGTTTGTCTTTTCTTTCCATCTTTGAATCAAACCAAAATATATCATTTGATATTTGTATCACTTATTCGAAAAACTAATAATTTTAATCTAAAACCAACTTTATTCCACAATGATAAGGCTAATCTAGTCCATCTAACTGGGAATATTTGATTGGCTGCAATCAATGTTTCAATATTGTTATTGGATACGTACCTATGTCTATCCAGGCCGATTCACGGCCGGCATCCTGATGAGCTGATTGTAGTGCCTCTTGAATAGCAAGGAGAAACACAACACCTAGACAAAACGCTGGTTCTCCGGTAGCTGTAAATAAAAATAATATTTTGTAAACAATCATCCAAGATTCATTTGTTTTTCTTTTTTCTTAGAATGTATTTTATTCAATGACTAGCTTTCCTGGCTTCGCAAGGGTGCAACCGATACTTAATTTCTCCACTATTTAATGGATTTAATTATATATATAAAACTTCACTCTAGCTATAAAAAAACACCGCAACAAAATCCGTTGCGTAATTTTACGAATGTTTTAAACTATGTAGTGTTTATAAAATAAGTCACGAATGGAGTGTGGAAGTAACGTTTACGTCATGTTTTGCCCTGTGAGTGAGGGTACGAGCGTACTAAACCTTTCCCTTCATCGCCAATACGAAAGAGGCAGACAACCCATTGGTGATGCTGATAGCTTACAATCTACTGACCTATTATATAAAAAAAAAACATAGAAATTTATGTAACAGAAAATACCATTTCAATTTAAATGTACCTTTAGACTGTAGCACACCGAATTCATTTTTGGCGTTCCGACGGAAATAAATCCTCATATCCGCTGGTATATCTTTTATACCAGGTATCTTATAGGTCCAGGTTCTATCTGTAAGCAACTTGCCAGTAGACTCATCGTACACCAACTTCTCTGATGTCCAGTATCCTAGAGCCATGACGAAAGCTCCTTCGATCTGGGAAAACAAGAAAAGGCAAAGTATAATATAAATCTAAATTCTTGCCAATGGTCTCACTGGCTACTTTTTTTTTTGGTACATTTAACGCACTGCATTAATAATTTCTATCTGTTCAATTTAATGGATAAACTAATTAGAAATTTCTTGTATAAATACATAATTTTAATATTCATAGTTGCATGATACAATGGCATAACATACCTGTGCGACATCAATTTCGGGGCTCAAACTCCTTCCAGTATCCTCTACAATATCTACGCGTATGATATCATGGTTGCCAGTCAAGATATCCACTTCAACTTCCAAAACACCAACAGCGTAAACTTCATAGGGTTTCGCATCACTAACATTAAATGCAGCATTAGCTTGGAGCTCAACTCCAGCCTTGTATGCAGCTTCTACTAGTACTTCCCAGGTTGGATTATCGAGATTATCCCTCACAGGTTTAAGCCTTTCATTTATAATATCACAAGCTTTTTTTGTAGCGAAGACAACGCATTCACTGCCTACACTGCCTCCAGTAACCATAGCATTCGGAGAAGTAAAGTTATTACTGGCTTTCACACTTATTTTGTCTAACGGTATTCCAAGGGCATAAGCACAAACTTGAGCTGCTTTAGTATTTAATCCTTGACCCATTTCTACTCCTCCATGCATTATCACTACTGATCCATCACCGTGGTAGATTGAGACAATAGAATTGAACAATCCTGTGTAAAAAATTTCAACTGTTAACGGTACCATTTTAATACCACGTTTTCTCCATCGATTGTTCTTGTTAAATTCTTCGACTTTCTTCTTTCTGTCATCGTACTCAGAGTCTATTTTTAGTTTATTTATCATTTCTGGAATTGGGTTATTTTCCTTTTTCATGTTGAGAAGTCTCACTTCTATGGGGTCCAACTTTAAACTGAATGCTATTCTCTCCATCATATATTCTATCATAGCAACGCCTTCAGCTGAAACTGAAATAAACAATGCTTTTCCTTTTTTTGAAATCATTAGACAAATAAATTCAACAGTTGTGACAGAAAACTAATACCCATTCAATAAAATAACATGCAAATTACTTCGATAGAAAATAATTTAAGAAAATCAGTAGACGTGTTGCTTGAAATTCGTTTCTTAAATATTTTAATTTATTATTATTAAAACTTCACTCGTTCGATATTTGAATTTATGGAAATTATAATGAATTGCAATACGTGGTATAAATCTAAACCTCAGTGATAAAACTTACATGGAGCTCTGCACCAAGTGTTTGAAGGTTTGTCTGTCAATACACTGAAGGAGGAAACACCCCATCGTTTAGGATCGTAGCAATTGTAGAAATGATGAATCGTTAGAGCTGTTAGCACCTCATTGTAAGAGCTTCCTCCATCTTGATAGAAAGTATTTTTTAGATACTGAATTTCCCCTTCGGCATTGATTCCAATCTGAAATAAAAAAAATATTTTATGGTAGTTATATTTTTTTCCGTACCCTTATTTATTTTATTGTAACACGTATATGAAGTGTTTGAAGAAAATAAAATAACAAAGGCGGAATTGGTCTGTCTCCGCTACAAAAATAAAGCTTATAGTTTACTGCCAAAGATGGCCATGTTCAGCTGTGAATGGGGCGGGCTAATGATGACGATGACGTCATTCATCCTTACGTTAATAAGCCTTTAATTGTGGGAGAACTAAGCTTCGGTACGGATGGGTCGGCTCGACCGGAGTGACATCACGGCCTCATAGAAAACCGTGAAACAAACACAGCGTTGTGTTTCACCGTTTGAGTGATGTTACCCGGGGCTTAATCCCTCCCTTCTCACCATCGCTTCCCAATCCTTAACTATCCGAATCCCTTATACCCAAAAAGCTGGCAACGCACTCGTAGCTCCTTTGGTGTTGCGGGTGTCCATGGGTGTCGCCGATTACTTACTACTAGTTAATCCGTCCGCCATTTTGTTGACCTATACCATAAAAAAAAATTAAGCCAAACCTCAAAATTACATTTGGTGCCAATTCGTTTGCCAACGGATCCCATATTCGTTTGTAATGGGAGGACCATTCTGCAGGTTTTGTTCATTAGATGTGTCACAAGGGCCGCTGAACATGCTACCTGAGTGGACCGAGATATTTTACCACCGTAACCACCTCCCACCCGCTGAACTATTACGTTTATACTGAAACAAAATTAAAATTTCATTTGTAAATAAAATGTTTTCAATAGGAAACCGTCACTGGCGTTGATTGAATAAGCTTTTATTGTTGGTAGTTCCAGGATCGAGAGTTTTCTTCACCATTTTTCTATTTCAATTACTTAAAGCTTAGAATTGCGTTCGTAAATTGTAGTATTGCAAAGTATTGTGCCTGCTACAAGACCTCAATAACATGACGTATAATTAAAGTTAAAAATGGATAAAACTCCAATGTGTCCACCGTAGTCCTAATACATCTCTTATTATGTTATGTAATAGTTTTAAAAAATGAAATCTTCGTCTTTTACCTATTAGCTGGAACTTTTAGTGCTTGAGCTACAGCAACGTTAGTTAAATCAAGCCACTGCGTAGCCGCAAAAACTTCCATTCCACCTTCAGTAGGCCTAGCCACGCAAGTCTGCGTTTCCATGTAATAATGATATTGTTCACCCATATCTATTTCACCATTAATAACAGTTTTAACTTCTTTACCTACATCAGAAGGTTCTATATTTTGGTCTGATCTGACTCTTTTACTCTTTTCCGGACTTTTTATAACTTCATCAATTGTTAGGAGAGGTCTGTTTTTGCTTATTGTTGAGTATTGAATTTTAACTAGTTTCGCTGCTTTGTTTGCAATTTTTTCTCTATTAGCAACTATGATAGCTGCTGGTTGTCCATAAAATTTTACTTCCTTAGAACACAAAATTTCTTCTTGAACTGCAATGAAAGGTATGTTGGCAGGAGTAAATGTATTGTCTCCTGGAATGTCCTTTGCTGTATAGAAACCGCATACACCGGGCAATTTCTGAAAATAATACAAAACATAATTATATATTAGGACAAATAAGTTAATGGTAATTATTTTTACTTATAGTTTCAGTAGTCATACTTACAAAAGCTTCTGATGTATCGAAATCTTTGATTATACTACCAGGTACAACATCAGCAGTAACAAAGGCGGCATAGACCTCATCAGATTCACCTGGCAAATCATTAGCAAATACAGCTTCACCGCTACATTGAACCAATGCTTCTATTTTTGGTATAGGTTGATTCAGAGGCCAAACACTTTTATCAGTTTCATAGTACTGTGTTCCTTTTGATTTGTCCCGTTTTATGGCTTCTCCTCCTGATTTGTAATTGGCATTTACCTTGTTGCTTGGACAAAGACTGAGTATTGCCTGAAAATATTTAATTGGTGTCTTAATACAACAGTTGATTACTCTTAAAACAGTGTCATTATTCCATACCAATTGATTAATTTTGAACATAGAATTTTATCTCAACGTCTTAAAGGGTTATAGGTATTTTTAAGGACTTTAGGTTTTTTAACTCTGGCACTTGTTTAACTTACTGTAAAAGGTTGTTAACAACCATTTCTTCTTTTTAAATTTAAAAATAAGGTTCCATGTTTAATTTATTGGGTTTCTAGAAAAGTTTAACAATTATTCGCATAGTTACAGAAATAATAACTACGTTTATGATGACTAGTAACTCACCTTATAATACAAAGATACAGCCAACATCTTTCTATAAGCTGCTGATGGTTCAGGGGGAGCTTCTACGGGATTTATTTCGTCATGCAAAGTTTTAAGAGCTAATTGTAAAGTCTCGTTAGTATAAGGATCTTTGCCAACCAACACTTGTTCAGTTTTTGTTGCATGGATAAATGTAGGTGAGATGCTGCCATAAACTATGGAAGCTTTTTCAATTATGTTCGAGTTTTGTTTGAATCTAAACATGAATCCAGCGTTGACAACAGCATGAGCGTTTTGGGATCGAGGCATAATCTGTGAAATAATTTAACACCTTAACGTACAATTTGTTGTAAAAATGATGACTAGTCGTGGTGTACACCTTTTACCATTTCAAAGATTTACTCAATAAAAATCCTGAAAGTTTCGCAAAAGAAATAAATATAAAGATAAGAAAACTTTAACTAAGCTTTACAAGAAAGTTCTCTTTAACAATATTATATAAATTCATATTGTTGTTCACACTCTTGCCTGTTGTTTCAACTTTCGCTTTTTTGTGATAAAGCCGAAAATCCGATGTAGATAGATGATATGCTGCTATCTATAGGGAAATAAAGGCATACCTTGTACGTTTTCACCGAACAGCACTGTGATAAGGGTGGCAGCATAATGTTCTTAATAATTTTCAGATCCAAAGATGTTTTCAGAAATTCTGGTAATGTCATGCTAACTTCTTTCGACACACTTTCCGCTGCAAAAATATTATATCTTTTAAAAATTTTATATTTGTAGTATTTTTTGTATGTATTTTTACTCTCTATGAGTACATATCTTGGATTATTCAGCCTGTTGTAGTTTTAATGATCCGTTGTTTCAGTTTCGGTTCCTTTCCGGTAATTTAAACTAATATTGAATGTTTTTAGTATGAAATTCTCGAATTTAACAATCATTTTGGATTTATGACTTTAAGTAGGTAGTTTTGATAAATATATTAAAGTGATTTCGACAAATAGTAAAGTAACGTAAAATCATTCTCACCAATAGTGATCATAGCCCCGACAGTTTCAAAAAGAAGAAAGAGGTCTGATTGGAATTCGTTGTTAGAGTGCTTCAAGGCTAGATTACCTCCAATTGTTCCGATCTGTAACAGCAAAGAAATTGAAAATATATCGGTAATTGTATGTACTACACTATTTATTTAGCTTTCGGCTGATTTTTCATGGGTTAGATAGAAGTTATCCGGGAAATAATTATGATGCTGTCGCGTCAGAATGTGTGTATAAGACAGTGACAGCAACAATTTTATTCCTCAGATAACATTTATCTGACTATTGAAAAATCAGCCTTTAATCTGTTTTAGTTGCGTTGATGATTAATAACTCAAATTCTATGGTTACCATAGAATTCAGCGCGTCAGTAACTAAATACTAATTCTAAATTGTTGGTTATTAAGAATTAACACCAAATATTAATTCTTAATACCCAACAAGGTGTTCTCATTAATCTAGCTCTTTCAAGAACATCGTTGTGACAAATACAAAAAAAACCTAGGCATCTCATTCATATGAATTTTTACTTACATTTCTCACCGGTATATGAGCAACTAAATCCATGTGATCATAAAATTGTTTTAAATAAGAAAATTCTTCCTTAGTCTTTGAAAGATCAAGGAAAAGTGCCATCATATCCGTGAGGGTCATGCCAGCTCCGATTATAAGGTTTACATCAATCACATGTCCTTTGAGTTCAACGACACTAAATATATCAATAAGATTTCGTGGATATTCTGTAACGTGGTAAACACCTGGAAAGACACATGAGAAACTTAACTTAGTGACAGTAAAAATATCGAAATCATGAGCACTCGTGCTATAATAAAATGTTACATCACGTGAGCATGACTGCTGAACAAGAGGTCTCCAAATCATCAACATATTTTGTTTTTGTAAATTATCAGTAATAGAATAAGAGGTAGCCTTTTTTATTAAATTTTTTTGTCAGGGGTAAATCATCAAATGACTTGTCCCGCCCAGAGTTAGGCGAGAGAGAGCGTCAGACTCTTACTGACTAAAAAATCTCCCGTTCCTTCTCCTCCTCTGGGCCGAGGCCGCGGTGAGAGCTAGCCTAACCTAGCTAATAACATTGTTGCAACGGGCTCCAATTATATTTTATCCGTGTAACGATAATACTGAAATGAATACTACTAGCTAGATAAGTATGCTTTGGCCTATTTGCAAAACAGTAATTGATTGTTTCATAGTGATAACATTTGTGGCTGGTAATAACAACCTTATCAATCTAATTGAATAAATTAATTAAATGTCACTCTGTGCCTTTAACTCCCTTCTTCGATAAATAAATAAAAACAAATTATTTTACCTTGACCAGTGTTTCCAGCAACATAAGTATATTGTCCATGTTTGAGGACATCGAAAACGTCAGCTAAGTGAAAAGCTTTGTACCATGTGTGTTCAGCTGTTTTAACAACCACCATTTTGTCATCATTTACGTGAACGAATTCTTTTTCTTGGTCATCCAATTCATCAGCTTCATTATTATTTTTAGTTCGTTCATTGGATTTGAAACATTTTTCTCTGTGAGTACATTTCTTAGCACATTCTAGTCCACATCGTTTTAAAAGGTCTAGTTCTTCAAGATCGCAAAGTTTGTTTAGAAGTGATTGGTCAGCGTCTGTGGCGAATGATTTGAACGCATCGGCTATAGGCCTGTATCCTGTGCATCTACACATGTTCCCAGCGAAGGAATTCTCAATTTCCACTGAAGTTAGTGTTTTGTTCTTCGATTCGTATAAACTGAAATTTAATTTGTTATCTTTTAAAAGTTGAACTTGATCATATTGACATTACCTAAGTTAGAGATCGAACCTTGCTTGTCATTTTAAACCAGAGCCAGACCAAAATCCGAATGTCTGTTCATCAGTAATATCGGTAAGGTTTTAAAGGTAGACTACCAGTACTCCAATCTGATCATTTTTATTATATTTTAAACTTAATTTTAATGTAATATCGTCGAAATTCGGTTGTAGAAAGATTACGTGTTGGTATCTGTAGGCATTTGGAATAAGTTATAGCCGTGAAAATGTTTACCCACGTTTTCAGATCAGAATTTCATGCGAGAAATACCGATATGTGTGAACTAGTTTGAATAGATTTTTTATGACATCGTAAAATATTAGTATTCCAACAACGCTTTAAGAGAACATGAGAGAAAAACTCACAAGTTTCTTACAACAGCTTAACATTTAGTAAAAAATGTTTCAAGGTCGTTTAGATTTTCCTGTTATTGTATTGTGGAGTAAGCAGAATTCTTCTAAGTAGTTTCAAGAAGCATCGTGTTTGGTATAAATAGTAACAAAAAATATAAATAATGATATTGTGAAATAACAGGAAGTAGTAAAAATATAGTATGTATGTGTATAAATAAACATATACCAGATAAATCAGTTATATTTTATTTATTTTTAACCCCCGACGTAAAAAGAGGGGTGTTATAGGTTTGACGTCTGTCTGTCTGTCTGTCTGTGGCATCATAGCTGCTCCTGAATGAATGAACCGATTTCAATTTAGTTTGTTTTGTATTACAGGTGTTTTACGGGCGAGTGTTCTAAGACATGTTTGATAATCATTTGAGCCGTTTAAAATTTGTGAGAGATGAAAATGCGGAATAATTACCATCATCAGCCTATAAGTGCCCACTGCTGAGCAAAGGCCTCTTCTCATACGGAGAAGGTTAGAGCATTAATTACCACGCTTGCTCAATGCGGGTTGGCGATTTCAAACTTATAATAAGAAATTATAAGTCCAGGTTTCCTCACGATGTTTACCTTCACCGTATGTCAGTGGCGTCTAAATAATCATAGAAAGTACATATAACTCGGAAAAAGTCACATTGGTACTTGCCAGGTTTCGAACCCACACCCTCATGCATGAGAAGCGGGCTCCTTAACCGCCGGGCCACCACGACATTCAAATAAAAATTGGAATAATTACCGAATGTCTATAATTATGCTCCAGTGGGGTTTCAAGTAAAAGCGCATTACGCGTACATTACAATTTTTTTACTTTTTAAAGGTAGCTTATGTTTTATGTGTCGGGGTTTTTTTAATTTATAATAATTGAGAAAATCTCTACTTGCTTTACAAAAGACTTGCAGCTAGCTGAACCATTACCTACATAAATATATCGACACTTCCACAAATTATAATCAGTCGTCAGTGAACTTAACACAATCATAATCATACTACCTACATAATTACAACACATAGAACAACTTTTACGGAATCATATGAATGACTTGCAGTTTTATCGTTTTGGTAATAATGACCTTGCAATTCTATTGAGTCATTAAACTTTTGTACCTACCTATCTAATTTTAGAAACAGTTGTGTCACAATGGTTATTATTAAAAAACTAGTGGTCGATTAGCCAAATTTGGCATTGGAGCTTTGTGTACTTTTAGAATTAGTAGCTTGTGCACGCGTCTATAACACGACAACGCCTGGACCAATTAGGACAATTCTTTTTTTGGTGTATTTCTTATAGTCACGAGAAGGTTCTTATGAAAGAAAATATTATAAAAGTACGGGGGAAAATAGACCCTTTCGTCGTTAGATTGAAAGTTTGACCCGTGCGAAGCGGGGGAGGGCCTCTAGTATTATTTATAACTAGCTCCTGTCGCGCGGTTTCACTCGATTAGCAAGTGTTTTATAGTTTAAAGCCTTCGTCGATAAATGTACTAACAAACATAAAAATACCTATTCAATTCTAACCAGTACTTCTGAAGATTAGCGCGTTTAAACTAACAAACTCTCCAGCTTTATAATATTACTAGCTACTCTCGCGCGGTTCCGCCCGCCGCTCAGCTTCATTTGATTGTAACGTGATGTTTTGTAGCCCTCAGGAACATTGTAGCTAAAACATTGTAGAAAACACTTCCTAATGTTTCGTCTTAGTATTCTTAAAGGTTAAAGAATGTATTTCGTTGGTATAAATTTAATAATATATAATTTTACACTTTTCTAAGTGCGTCGTATTTCTGAGTTAAAATCATAAATGATGTAACTTATTAATCTCCGTTTTGGGAATAACATTTACCTGTACATATTCATGACCCATCCAGGAGAACAGTATCCACACTGGGTGCCATTGAAGTTGGCCAGTCTGCTCTGTATGTCGTGGTAGCCCTTGATCCTGTTCCCAACACCTTCGACGGTGGTTATCTCCCAACCATGGCATGATAGTACTGAGACGAGACACTGGAAAAAGAAGATTGTGAAATACGAGGGGTGGCTGATATATAATCTACTTTGTTCAATAAAGTTACAAAAATGATACGGGCCACTATGAAGCTTTAATACTTATAGATTCCTTATTTGAAAATAATAGCATTCATTTGTTTTAATTGTTTTCATTACGAATAGTCCACTAACATAGTAAACATGTCGGATGAAAATAATAAAATGCTTAAAATTGAGCAGCGTGCCGTGATTAAAGTCCTTACTAAAGAAGGAAATACTCCTTCGCAAATAAAACAACGAATGTCCAATGTGTTTGGCGATTCATGTCCTTCCAATTTTGTTATTAATTTTTGGTCTAAACAATTTAGACATGGCCGTGTGAGTCTGGAAGACGATCCCCGTAGCGGACGGCCGGTTTCTGCAGTCACAGTAGACACGGTGGCTCGAGTGAAAAAAATAATACTCGCAGATCGGAGAGTCAAGCAGTGGGAAATTGCTAGGGATGTCAGGATTAGTAAGGAACGTATTCACGTTATTATTCACGAACATTTAGGGATGATAAAGGTAAGCGCACGATGGGTACCGAGAATGCTGACGCCCTTTGAGAAACAACGACGCGTCGAATGTTGTGAGGCATTTTTGGACCTGGTAAAAGACAGAGAAGAAGAAATTATCTCTAGAATAGTAACCTGCGACGAAACCTGGATTCGCCAATGGGACACCGAAAGCAAACAGGAGTCTTTACAGTGGAAATTTTAAGGGGAGAAGCCACTGCGCAAGTTTAAGGTTCGGCCATCAGCAGGCAAGCTTATGGCAACAATTTTTTGGGATGTCGAGGGGATTCTTTTGATAGTTTACATACCAAAAAATACTACGATGAACGCAACTTACTACGCCAGCTTACTTGACCAACTGCGAGAAGCCATAAAAGAAAAACGAAGAGGCAAACTCGGCAAAGGAGTTTTGATTTTGCACGACAATGCTCCGGTCCACACAGCTTTACATGCAAGGTCAGTCGTAAGCAAGAATAGCTTCACGGAACTAAACCATCCACCCTATAGTCCAGATTTGGCCCCTGTGACTATTTTCTATTTAGAAATTTGAAGAAAAGCCTAAGAGGGAGGCGGTTTTCGACCGATGAAGAAATAAAGACCGCTGTGGATGGCCATTTTGACGACCAATCCAAGAAATATTTTTTTGACGGTTTAATGTCGCTTATTGACAAATATAATAAGTGCATTACGGTACCAGGGGACTATATTGAAAAATAAAAAAAAATGAGCTTCCTATGTCTTTTCTTTCTATGTTAGGTAGATAACTTTCCAGCCATCCCTGGTAAGTCGTTCTTTGAATTTAAATATTTGTAGGTGATCCCACGACATACATGACAAGAGGATAATCCTAGGCTATGAATAAATAAGCTAAAATTTTAACTGGTTAAAAGAAGTTAAATAAGTGGTAGGTAACAAAGTATTATAAAGCGCACTAATTTAAAAAATACTGCTATTATGCTTCTGACACCTTGTAATATTAATAAAAGACCTGGATCTTGGTTTTACTGCACACTTCGCCACAGTCAATGGTCCAAACAGATATCTAATCACGGAAGTTATAGTGACTTACTACTTACTTGACTATTAAGTTAATGGTATTACAATAATAATGACTTAGTCGCGTGAATTAACTAAGAAACTTTGACTATTTACTAAGAAAAGATCCCGCCGAATCGCGCGCACATATCGTGAATAAAACTCCCATTCTTACTTGAAATTAATAGGGCTTTTCTCAGTTCTTTCACATGAGCAAGAAATTATCTATACTTATAATAAATCTGTAGAGGGGTCAATTCTGTACATTAAATATATTTTCCTACCAGGGGGTGATAAATGAACGATACTGATGGCAAAAATGCATTCAGTAAAATTTTTGTCTGTCTGTCTGTCTGTATGTATATTATATGATTTTTTTATGATTTTAACAAAACTTGGGACAATTATTCTTTATACTTGGCAGGTTATAGGATACTTTTCATCACGCTACAAATGATAGGAGCAGAGCAGTGAAGGGAAATGATGGAAAAACGGCAGGAGTTACTCCCTTTTTAGGTTTCCGTCGCGTGTGTAGCCTTAATGGTTAAAGTTACATAGAAATTATGTATGACGGAAATATTTTACATAAAATTATCTAAAAAAAATGGTTTTCCAGCATATGTCTATCTTTTAACGTTAACTCACAATAGCACGTGTAACTGCTGATCGCTTAACAGTTCGGATAAAAAGCTATAGAGTCGTCGCATGTGAACACTGAATCGTACTATGTATAAGGATTATTTTTGTATAACGGTTGCCGCGCTCGATGCGACGCGGTAAACAATATAATATAATAGGTTTTATGAAATATTTTTAATACTTACCTATTAGTTAGATCCTAATATAGAAAGAACGGTACGTTCGTACGGACGGATAGCGGAGACTTAGTAAGTAATAGGGTATTTACTCATTGGAGATCTACACATAAAAATTAGACGATTAGTAACAAATTTTATGTATACTTCGATTTTGTTCTATTTCTATAGATAGGCTGCTTTTTATCAACACAGCACTCGGGCGAAGCCGCTGGCGGAAGCTAGTTTTTAATAAATTTAGAAGTTGAATACTTGTGACCGTCTTTGAAGTATAAAATCAAGTAGAATTAATAGACACAGTTTATATTTTCATGTCTTTGAAAAGGAGGACCAATAATTATTGTAGGATGATACTGATGATTTGGGTCGAGAATTAATAATTTCTATAAAACGATGAATGAAAGAGTAATGTCAAAAGTTATTTGCTCTCCTTCGAAAAAAAAATCAGCCAAGTGTAGATAACACTTGGCTGATTTTTTTTTGTCTTGACTTGTCTGATATTCAAAACAACAAATTCTGTCAAACGTTTGACTATTACAAAAACAAAGTGTGCAAAGCTAAGAATAATAAATGGATACTATAAGAGCGATCCTATTTGTTACTGTGGTAATGATTGGAAAATATTCGTAAATGAAAAGCCGTAAATCATATATTTAAAATATTAGCTGACGTTGAATAATGTAAAATTGTATAAAGCAGCCAAGATGTTGATACATATTTTTCGATAAAATAAAGAATGAAAAATGACAACTTTAAACATTGCTAAGAAAGTCTTGATATCATAGATCAACAAATATTAATTTATGAAAACACTAGCTTTTCCCCGCGCTTTAGCCCGCGACTCCGTTCGCGTGGAATAATGACTTCTTGCAGATTTTTGGTATAAAAACTTATCCAAGCTATGTCTGTACCAAATTTCACAGAAATCGGTTCAGTAATTTAGGCGTGAAGAAAGGATAGGACAGGGTTACTCTCGCATTTATAATATTAGTTTGGATGTTTATTTAGTGTATATGAATCGACTAAGCGTTTCGATTTTCAAATTTTTAATGTCACCTCACTTTGGAATTAGGATAGTGAACAAATATAGTAGCAAGCTCCATATTATGCCTAAACTCATCGCTATAAAAGCGAAAAGAAGGTAAACACATATAGGTATTAAACTCGTCCTGAATATGACAGAGTCATCCATGATGCACGACCGGAGTGATACCATGGCTTCATAGAAAACTGAATTCAAACAAGGCTTGCGTTTCGTTTGCCGTGTAAGTAAGAATATCGGTGGCCTAATTCTGTTCCCCATCACAAAATCTCAAATCTCTCAATACCTTAAACTCTAACCCAAAAAACCTACCCTTGGTATTGCTGGCTATAATGGCCAGACCGGTTCGGTTGCCCCTTAATTCCATAAAAGCCTGCTAATATTAACTACATCTGCTTCAGCAATAGGCATAAACCACTAATTAGTTTGTCTAACTAATTGTTTTGTCTATGGCATGTTTTAATATTCATTGTTTATTTTTTTTGTTTAGTTTACTTTTTGCATTTTAACATTTATTAATTGTGTACCTTATGTGTAATTGATTTTCTGTGTTTGAATACTTATTTTATTTAGTAATACCGAAACGGCGTCAATATTTTTATAGTCCCGAGGCAAGGACGCGTGGAGGGTCAGTGCTGAAAACCAGCGCTGTTGTATCGTGCCTGCGTGCGCGAGACACAGCATTTATGCTGAGCGCTGCCCTTTTTCACGCATGAGTGACGCAATTTTAGTGCTTTTCTTTTTTTTTTCTTTTATGTTCATTGCTTGTTTTGTCCCTCTTTAACTATATTCGTGTATGTTTGTTTCTTGCGTCATTTGTGTGTGAAATAAATGGTTTTTCTTTCTTTCTTTCTTTCTTTCTAGTTTTCAATTAAATAATAATATTTTAAAATATATATTTTATAAGTATAACTACCATTCTAAAACATAATTCCAAGAGTAACAGTTGACCTTGGGTTACATCGTGGAAGGCCAAGACTCTTGAAGTACAGACAGATGAAGTGCAGGTCAACCTATCCCAATCTATCAATTTGTTTTATTGTATTTTCACCGTTATGTAAACATGTTAAAGTTGAAAATCTAATAAAGAAATCTGGTAGGTTGATGTGCTGTTGTTTGTAGCAACTAACACCACTGTAATATCTAACTACTTAGCAACTACTAAGTATATGTTATAAAGCTTTTATATATATATGTACATTTGTTTACCTTAGAACATTGTGGGCGTATAATATATGAAAATGAAGTTATTTCATATAATACTATCTTGTTAGGTAAGGCTAAACAAAATGGCAGGGGTTATGGCACCTAATCCTTTAAGGGGAAGGGGGAGGGCCTCTTTTTTCGGTAGTTTACATCTTCAGGCTGATGATGATGATTATGATGAAGAGTTTAGTAATTAGTTATAGTATAATAAATTATATTAGTATAGTAAATTTATAGAGCCTGTAGCTGTTGTTACCTGGTACTTATCCAAACTAATATTATAAATGCGAATGTATTTTTGTCTGTCTGCCTGGCTTTTCTTCATGCCCTAACTACTAAACCGATTTCTGTAAAATTTGGTACAGACATACTTTGAAACTCGAGAAAGGGCATAGGATAGTTTTTATGCCAAAATCCTGCATGAAGTCACTATTCCAAGCGAACGGAGTCGCGGGCAAAAGCTAGTTTGTATAATAATGTCTCTTTAATGGAATAAGGTCGGCAAACGACGAACGAAAGACGGATTACCTGATGGTAAGCAATCGGTAGTTACGTCTGCGTTGCCGGCTTTTTGGGGATTGGCATTACACATATTTAGGGATTGGGAAGGGATGGGGAGCGAAGAAAGATTGGCCTACGATAACGTCGCTTAGACGGCGAAATCCAAAGCTGTGGTTGTTGGAAATGTGATAAATAGAAGAAATATAGTATGCTATATATCGGCGAAGAAAAATTTACTAGCTAAATAAATGATCAATGTTTAATAATTATCGATTAATTTAATTAGTTTAAACCCTATCTTAACTAAAACTAAAGTTATAAACATAAAACACTCTTATTATTGTCAAAGAGTAACATATACGCCTAATTTGACTGTCTTGAGACGGGGGGTCAGGTGAAAATGGGGGAGTTTTTAGTCAGTAAGAGTCTGGCACTCCCTCTCTCTTCACGCTTGGAGTGTCATTTCATGATTTTCCCCTCACACAAAAGGCACAAGTGTTCGTTGAAAAACAAACCAAATGTGATAATTGTATTGTAACTAGGACATGAATCACCATATTAATTCGTCAACTCGCCTCCCGACCAGAACCAGACAACAGACAATAGACCAGACGGGGCCCTATAGGGCTGATGTTCAGCCGGGGTTGCGCGGTAAGCGCAATGAGGCACCGCGACCTCGGCCCAGAGCAGGAGAAGGGACAAGGGGTTTTTAGTCAGTAAGAGTCTGACACTCCCTCCCGCCCGGCCCTGGGCGGGAGAAGTCAGTTAATGATTTGCCCCTCACAAAAAAAAAACATATTAAATCATAACGTTCTCCGATCTTCTTTGAAGTATATTATTAGGTATGAGACTAGGTATCATTAGTTATAATATAACCTGCTACTTTCATCTCTGCCTAACTTGAAGGTTGACTAGGAGATACTATCTAAGCCCTAAGGCTCACAGAATTAAGTTTAATAAACAAATAACATCAGTTATTTTTATCGTCTAAGGTTTGACGTGTGAGTAAGATTGACAAGGTAAATATAATAATATATGACAGTCATTTATGATCAACTAAATAGCTTTTTATAAACAGTTGAAATATTATAAATAAACGTACTTAAAAAACTGCTTGTCATCCATATAAACGTTAGCAGTATGTATAAAAATATTAAGCTTTTTTGTCCATATAAATATGAAGGCTAGCGGATCAAAGGTGAACGTTAGACAAAGCGAAAGGCGATGAGAGGGATTCATCGTATAGACTCGGGCTGTAATGTATCAAGTCCGATACTCGTTGTTCTTAAATAACGGTTATCAATATCTGTTATTTAATAATGGGCTGTTATATTTTTTTTATTCTAGGCGCATCACAAACGAGGTTACATATCACCTGGTAGTAAGTGATCTAAGCTGCCATGAACACTCATAAAACCAGTAAACACAAGTTAGAGGTAGTGTTTTCCAATTTCTCCAAGGCTTTTGACAAAATCAATCACGATTTTTTATTAGGAAGATCTGAAGTCAAAAAAAGTCAAAAGTCAAAAATCATTTATTTCAATTAGACTCTCACATTTACAAAAACTTAGAAGATCATCAACAATTAACAACATAGTGTACAAATTAATAATTAAAATCAAAAATTCCTCTAAACATCCTGTGGAGTAGGACCCGCTAGCCTCCAAGCATTTTTATCTTGTATATAATCATTTAGTTTGTAGTATGCTAGTTTACATAAATGTTTCTTTATACATAATTTAAATTTGCTTTCATTTTGATTTTGAATTTCAACTGGGATTTTATTATAACATTTAACACAGAAACCCAGGAATGACTTATGCACTTTTGCCAATCTAAATAAAGGCTGACTCAATCTATTCCTATGTCTAGTATGATAATCATGTTTGTCAGTTACCTTTACAAATAAGTGTAGTTTTTTTCTAACATACATAATGTTTTCATAAATAAATTGACTCGGTACGGTCAGAATGTTAATCTCCTTAAACTTTTCTCTGAGGGATTCGCGACGACCTAAGTTATATATAGCTCTGACGGCACGCTTTTGCAAGATAAAGATAGACTCAATGTCGGATGCCTGTCCCCACAACAGAATTCCATACGACATGATGCTGTGAAAGTAGCTAAAGTACACTAGTCTTGCAGTGGCTACATCGGTTAGCTGACGGATCTTCCAGACAGCATAAGCTGCAGAGCTCAATCGTCCTGCTAGAGACCTGATGTGGGGCCCCCATTGCAACTTCTCATCTACAGTGATCCCCAGAAAAGTAGTCTCTTTTACAAATTCTAGTTTCTGATCATTTAATAATATATCATCACATACGTTACTTTTAACATTTGCTAAAATAAATCTAATGCATTTAGTCTTTTTATCATTTAGTAATAAGTTGTTTATTGTAAACCAATTTTGAACCTTCATTAAGGCATTATTAACTTCGTCGTATTTGTTTGTTCGTCTATTTATTTTAAAAATCAATGAAGTGTCATCAGCGAACAATACCATATGCGGTTCATTTTGGAACAAATGAGGCAGGTCATTCACATAAACTAAAAATAGAAAAGGACCTAATATTGAGCCCTGCGGTACGCCCATAGATACGCTAGCACCCAGTGAGTTAACTTTGTTGACTTGTACTTTAATTTTTCTTTCTTGAAGGTATGATTTCAATAAATCTAGGGATACCCCCCGAATGCTGTAGTGTTCTAGCTTCAGTAACAGCGTCTCGTGCTCAACAAAGTCGAATGCCTTTGAAAGGTCGCAAAATATTCCGATGGCATCCTGTGCTTTTTCCCACGAGTTGAAAACTTGTTTCATAAGTGATACTCCTGCGTCCGTAGTGCAACGTCCTTTGGTGAACCCGTATTGATGGTCATGGAAAATAGAATTCGTGTTAAAGTGACGCAGCATTTGAGTAAGCATCAGCCTTTCGAACACTTTACTGAGCACTGGCAAAATAGAGACCGGCCTATAGTTATTAGGTTCTGTTCTATTACCTGATTTAAATAATGGAACTTCTTTACTATGTTTCATTAAATCCGGAAAAACCCCTTGATCTACACTTTTATTAAAAATGAAAGCTAAGTGCGGCGCAATAGTCTCTATAAACGACCTGCACACTCGAACAGACATTCCCCAAAGATCTTCAGTTGACTTTACTTTGATCTCATTGAACGCCTTTATTACTGCCTGAGGGGTTATGTATTGAAAGCTAAAGTCAGAAGGGCATTCTTTGACGTTACCCCTGAGAAGCTCGACAGAAAGTGCTGGAGATGATTTTAACGTTTCCGTAGTTTTAAGAGAAATATTTTTAAAGAATCTTTCGAGTTCCTGGGCAACTGACGAATTTGAACTAGTATATCCCTTTTCGGTTTTTAAATTAAATTCAGTGTTTTGTGATTTATTTCTACCTGTTTCTTTATTAATTATATACCAGGTACTTTTTATTTTGTTTTCCGCGGTCCTGATTTTATTACTAATGTGGAGCGACTTAGCATGCTTACATACTATTTTAAATATCGATCGGTAAGAATCGGAATACATAGTGATCTACTTCGTTCTCCGTCGTACTCTTTGGAATATCTGTCAATTCCGATAACAGTTAATAACAGATTGATTGTTAATGGATAAGATGGTTATAATAAGGATCATAGAAAGCCACTGAATGTAAGTGCTTCTAACTAATGATATGGTGATGATTAGGGAGGCCACTGAGCATGTTTTTTTCAGTATTAATACCTTATTGTTACTTTGTACCTGTTACTTATACTAGTGACGGTAAATACGTACCTTCCCTAACTCTTAGAGATAAAATGCTTACCATACATTAATATCGGTCGTCCTGACAACGTCCTACAATTGGAATGTAACGAGCTAAGATCAACCTTTTTCTCCAATAAAATGTTTTTTGAAGAATATCATAATATTTTCTCATGAATGGACATTCTTTAAATAAAATCGAGAATTCGTTTTGTCATTTAATTTAAGATGTAAATTCTTATATTAAGATGTTTTTTCAATGTGTGTGTTGAGTTTGTTTAAAAAGGGCTTGAGTAGGGTTTCATTTTTAGGGTAAGTACTTATATATCTTTCGGTATTGGTATCTTTCTTATTAAATGTAGGTGAGGTATGAAGTATGAGCTTAAAAGTCAAGTAAACAAAATAAATATACATTTTTTAATGATTTTCTTGAATTTTTAAAGATTTTCTACTTCGAATCACGTATATTATTTTCAGATTGGATAATAGCCGATCAAAAATGAGGTTGGTAATTAATTGACCTACTTGCTATCATTCATTATTGTTTAATTGTTATTTTTTTTATAGACATCATCATATGCTATGACAAGATAATTGAGCAACCCCTGTGTGTGTAAAGATAGAAGTTTATAAGAAAGCATTAATGCACAATCTTTGGCTAATATCAAAAACTTTTTTTTTGAGGTTGTATATCAACAAATGTTTTCTTCCATCCTGCTATGAACGAGCGGGCGTGTCAGACTCTTACTGACTAAAAACTGCCCCTTCTTTTTCCTGCTCCGATTCAAGCAGCTTATAGTTCAGCTATTTACTAAAGGTATACTTACAGAATTGACAGCAAATGTCTTGACTTCGTTGGAGGGAGGTAGGGCTGCGCGTACGGCGACGATGCAGGCACCACATCCTCCCTCGTGGCACATCGCCTTAGTACCACGCAACCCTGCCACTGATCGTATGTACTCGTTCAGGGATACATCAGGGCCAGACTTGTTGCCATCCACTGTCAAAAAAGATTGAAGTTAGACAGATTATTTTTACAAAAAACACGGACAATATTTGCAAAAAAACATATAATTTTACATTAACATACACCCAGACCCGGAACAACAATTTGTAGATCACACAAAGAATTGCGCTGCGCGGGAGTGGAAACCGCCTTGTAGGTACGGCATCCGGTTGCTCAGCTTCTGCGTTATTGGTGCACTCAGTAATTTAAAAAACATTAAACAAATATGCACATGTCTACTTTAACGTTTTTTAATCAGTTGGTTTGGAAAATATTATAAAAAAAATATACCTGAATACTCCGTCCCGTTGATTTTAAATTTCATGTTTGCCATTTCGTTCTTTTGTTTCTGAAAACAATAAAAGTAAATGTCACTTAATTAATTTAAAATATAATTAAACTGTACAATTTTTTTTTCGACTGTCGTACGGTTGTGTGCGGTTTGCGAAAGGTGCGTTTGCAGAGTAATTATAATAATATAATAATGTTTATTTGTTGTAAAAAGGTAGATTACAAAAAAAAAAGATCTTAAAATCTAGAAAAAGTACAGTGTTTAACATCAACCTGAACTAGGTTAAGTTAAGTTAAGTTAAGTGCTGACATACATTTACTACCTACAATATTATTGCTTATCAAACTAAACGAATAAAATATAACAAGTCATTTAAATAATTAGTATCTAAGTGTTACAGGTGCGCGTGTACAATTACATAAACAGACGTCAGCTATTATTATATTATTTGCAAACCTCAAGTAATTCCTCAGTTTGATCATATGTTAGGGTGTGTACATAATTAGTTAATATTTTTTTACAACGATAATGGTTAAGGCTATAAATACTTAATTCTCTATTTATTCTATTATATAAAAATGGGCCTAGGAAAATGAAAAATCTTTTAATAAAGGCGTGTTTTGACACTGAAGTTGAATTGCAAACTATGTCATTCCGTCTTTTGTTAGTAAAGTAATTAGTTTTAAAGGTGAGTAATGAGTGTTGTTTAAGTATTAGTTGTACTATGTAAATTTGGCGAACAGTTAAAACATTGCAGGTGTTATATAGAGTTGATGTCGGCAAAAGAAAAGGAAGAGAAAATGCTACCTTAAGGATAGCCCTCTGAGCACGTTCTAGAGGTAGAATAACAGTTTTTAATGCACCGCCCCACGAATTAATACAATACTGTATAATGGACTGACATAAGGCTTGGTACACTTCCGTGATTAATTTCATGTCACCAATATATCTCATCTTTTTAAAAATATACATTAACTTTCTGACTCGTGAAACCAGAATGCTGATGTGCTGTTTGAAACAGAGAGTTTCGTCGATTGTGATGCCGAGGTATCTGATGAATGTAGTTTTTAGGATACAAGGACAGTTACATGTACCAGCTAGTTTATTTGTACATATATGTGCAAATAACTCGGGTATAACAGTAGTATCTGGAGACTTACGCATAGAAAATTGAATGAATTTTGTTTTGTCCGAATTTAATGTTAGTAAATTAGAGGAAAGCCAACTATTAACAGAGTCAAAGCCCAATTGAGCATTTTTGTACAATTCCGATTTATTAGTAGATGAAAAAATTAAAGCAGTGTCATCGGCATATGATATTAATTTCCCATGACAGATTTTGAGATTACACAAATCGTTGATATATATTAAGAACAGAGTAGGACCTAGTATACTACCTTGAGGCACTCCATAAGTAGTATTTTTCTGAAATGAACTCATTATATTATCTATTCTAACACATTGATAACGGTCATCGAGATAATCAGCAAAGAGATTGAGCTGCGTGCCTCTGACACCTATGCATTCCAGCTTCTTTAGAAGCAGTGGAATAGAAACAGTATCAAAAGCCTTGGCAAGATCAATAAAGATTCCCAGCACGTGGTTGCCTTTTCCTAGTTCTTCTGATATAAAATCTGTGAGTGTATGTACTGCATCAGCTGCTGACAAGTTTGTTCTAAAACCAAATTGCAATGGTGATAAGATGTTATTTTTCTCGAGGTAGTTTTTCAATCTGGTATTAATAATTGTCTCGAGAATTTTGGATATTGAGGGCAGTAGTGAAATAGGTCTATAGTTATTAATTGACTCCTTATTACCTGATTTGAAAATAGGAACAATGCCCTTGGACAGACACTCACGAAAAATATGCGTCAGAGGAGGAACAAACATGTGCTTAAAAGTTTTGAGGATTCTATTACTGTTACTGTCACAACCAACCGCACAATTATCTTTCATTCCCGTAATGATTCGAGCAATTTCATGCTCGTCTGTGTCTAATAAAACAAATGATTTTTCGGTATAATTATTTGAGTGTGGGTAAGTTGTATTTGTCCGATTTTTAGAGTATGACTGCAACTGACTAGCAAGGTTTTTTCCCACATTTAAAAAGTAGTTATTTACATTGTTAGCAGACAAGTATGATGACGATTCAGTATGAAGCAAATCCGAACACGATTCTTGTTGTTTGGTCATATTTGTTACATTTTTTATGTGCTTCCAAAGCTTTTTACTGTCTTTTCCGGCCCGCTGCAATACGCATTTGTCGTAGTCAATTTTTATCTTTTTTAATAGTTTATTGCAAAAATTCCTGTATCTTCTGTAAATTAACTGTAAATCAGCATTATTTGGAAAACGTTTGGCTCTATGATGTAGTTTATCCCGGTGTCTTATACACCTTACAAGCCCAGGCGTTATCCATGGTTTTATGTTATAATGTCTGTTTTTTGTAGTTAATGTTGTTGTGTTCTGCAAGATGGTTTTTTCAACATTATTGATTAAATACGACATTGACGCATTAATATCAGCAGAATCATAAATTGGAGCGAAGTCCATGTTGCGAAAATCATGTTCGAATTTGTTTATATTAAATTGAGACCTGAATTTATGACGATTATGCTTCGGTAGCGAGATGTTTAATATTAGTAAAACTGCATGATGATCAGTTAATGTTGAGTTAGTGACAAGGCTAATATAGTTGGAGGTAGATTTCACCATCATATGGTCCAAACAGGAACCACTTTGATGTGTTGACAATTTATGAGCTGCTAAGAGCCCATGATATGCACATAAATTGAGATAATCCTGTGTTCCTGCGTCATAATTCTCGGAATTTATGTTAATATTTATATCACCTGTTAGTATAATATTTCTAAATGAGGTTAGTGTTTGACATGTCTGATTTAATGAGTGGAGAAACGAGTCTAAGTTTCTGAAGGAGGGTGGTCTGTAAATAGCTATTATTGCTGTTGTTGTATTAATTTTAATGACCAAACAATTGCATCCTGGTGTATTAGGTTCCTCCACAGAAACTTTTATTGAGTCTTTCGCATATACCAGGACTCCTTCGTTTTGGCTGGTATTTTCAGTATTACAGAAGACGTTATATCCCTGAATGTTCGGAAGGTTATCGGATCTATTTGTTAGCCAACACTCTGTTAGAACGATAATGTCACAGGTGAAGTTAAGTCGTTGTAACAGTACATGTAAACTATCTATATTTTTATATAAGCTACGTATGTTTTGGGTTAGAATTGTTAGTGAATCCGGATTTTTGGAAACATAGTTTTTGTAATTATGAAGTACTTTTAAATGCTTTTTTTACAGAAAACTTTTACAAAACTTTTACATTTCATAATTGCAAAGCTCATAAAGTACAACAGTTAAAGTTAAATTTCCAATCACTTTGTTCGTCGACGCTTTCGTTCGCGACTATGTGCTCGATCCAAATTGTAGATTAGTGTGGAAAAAAAAACACAGACATTTGGGGATAAAGATTACAGATAGTTAAAGATTGGGCCTCTAGTAACTTCACTCACACGGCGAAACACAACGCTGTGGTTGTTTCACATCGTTTTTTTGGGAGGCCGTGGCATCACTTCGGTTGAGCCGAACCATGCGTGCCGAAGTTTGTTCCTCCCATATTTAAAAATGTACGCAAAATCGATGGCAGCTAATAAACTAAATTTTAAAAATGGTGTGTTTTTTATACAATTAAAGAGTTGTATAAAAAACACACCATTTTTATATAAAGAGGCATACCAAGATTGTTTACCTCTAGTTTACCACTTACGCCATAGTACCTATTAGCTGATAAATATTGCAAGTCATTGTAGCAACGCCTGGCCAACAAATACCTCATAGCTACACGTATATAATTATGTATGAACACCTTTTTAATAACTGGATAGAACCGGTTAATAACGCTGATCTACCTGAGTAGACTTTGAACATTTTTTATTCAGTTTCCTAGTACTTAGTGTTTGTTTAAGAGGATTAATGATGCTTTTCAAGGCTGTGGCATTAAACACCTAAGTACGTGTGCTTAAAGATCTTGGGTACAGCAGATTTATATGTTTTTCTTTTCTTAATATTCCGATCGTGGTTCTTCGAGACACAATAGTAAGACGCAAGGAGACAATAGGGGCGCGTTCGCTTGGGGTTTGGTCAATTAAAACTCTATTCCCTTATTACGAAACAAGACTTATCTTTAGTCTAGGTTTAAACCATTAAGGGCTGATTTGTCAATAGTCAGATAAATGTTAGCTGACAAATAAAATTGTTGCTGTCTCTGTCTTTTACAAACATTCTGACGCGACAGCATTATTATTCCGCACATAACTTTTATCTAACGATTGAAAAATCAGAAATAAACTATGTTTTGAATTTTGAATCTTATTCTCACCTATTTTCAATTCGAAATACAGAAACAGGCTCAATGGTTTAGTCCTAGACAAACAAAAACTTTTGTAATTTGCCCGTTAATTAGTTTAAGGTTGTAAGTTTCGCTTTCCCTGTCAACAATATACCTGTGTAGGTACGCTTAAATATTTAAAACAACTTAAAGTATTTTGTAGAGGTTTTTTTTAAAAAATGGAATGAGTGAAGAGGAAGATTTATATCTAGAACTAGCGACCCGCCCCGGCTTCGCGCGAGGGCAATTCTAATACTAAATTTCTCCACTATTCAATGGATGTTTTTTATACTTTTGAGTACGTTCGTGCATGTAGTGTGGACCACCTTTAAAAAAAGACGGTATAATGACTAAACGGGCCACACTCACAGTATTATTATCTTGAAGTAAGGCGTCGCAAAGGTGCACGCATATATATATACTGATTTCTTTTATTATTTTTTTATTGAATAGATAATAATGTATGCTTTTTTAATTAGGGATAATTAAGCGTATTATAAACATAAGAGTTAACAAATATACTCAGAATGCTCCGAACTGCTGAGCTATCAGGAGTTACACGTGTATTGTGAGTCAACTATTAAAGATAGACATATACCCCCTTATTACAAAACAAGGTTTATCTTTAGTC